GGGACAATATACTAGGATCTAGATAGATCCTACCCTTTCATCGGGTCTATGCTAGAAGACCACAGAGTATCCAATAACCAGGCAACAAGCCCCATCGCATCGCATCCTGATCCTGACATCGTAAAAGCAGGCGAGATCCAGTGCTGGTCTGATGCACAAGACCCGATATAGCATTCGTAGTACTCTCTAGTACGTACTACTACAACCCGGGCCACTAGGCTACGGCATCTTCCCCGGCGCCAGAGTGCTTACGTTTGGCGGCTTGGCCCCAAAGTCCAATTTTGAGTCCAGCCGTCACCCAAGAGAGTCAAGACAAAGATAAAGACTGGCACAGATGGGAAATGGCATCTTGCGGTGGGACGGGTACGTATTTTGGTCTTGCCGCCGTGCCTCGGATTGGACACTAAACCGCGCGACACTTGAAAATCCTTCGTGTCGCGGCGTCTGGAGGCGTCCCCGCTATTTGGGATTTTGACAATCGAGGGAGGATGCTAATTGATGCCCTTGTCGTTTCCAGGAGCTTATTCAGACAAAGGAAGTGTTGCTGTCTCCGGATCGATTGTAACTTGCAAATCCGTGCGACCTAACGACCTAACGACCTAACTACTGCCTACCACTTTTCTAGGAATGTACTGGTCCATCTATCATATCCCTCATACAACCTACTACTACTGGGATAATCGGCTTGAAGCGATTGATAGTTGCCGACCGTAGATTCCGCAGCTTCCGACCAGGGTGTCTAGAATCTAGACACCAAACCAAGGCTAGGCTAGGCTAGATAGATAACCGGATAAGACGATAAATGTCGATAGCACGGAGAGTCCAGCATCCTGAGCTTTATTATCGCCTCGCACCAGACCTCCCTTGGCTTATTTAGGTAGGTGGGTAAGGTGCCTTGTGTTCCCGTCCCTTACCAAACTCCAGCAAGAGCTCAGACCGAGCAGCCTATGACAGGGCGCACGTGTTCTCTGTTGTATGCGGGCTAAGGCTCTGAGCTCCTGACCCTGGCATTTTGCCACTGTTTCTTTGTCTGGTAAGGAGCGAGCTAAGCGCTGCTCATGGAGATTCCTACTACTGACTAACTTACAGAGTCCTTGCTAGCAGCCGCTACATGGACGGTCTACAGGTACCGAACGCTCAAGTCGGCTCCGAAGCTACCAAAAGGCAACTTGAACGCGACCATGGTTCGCCACTTCTTGGTCCAGGAAACAGAACAATATCAATGGCGCGATTCGCCTTACCATGGTGATCATTGTTGATCTGGTCATGACACGAATCCAAGGCGATAAAGAGATTATCTGCGGATACACTTGACTGCTTGGGGCATCCTTCAGTCTCCTGGTCGCCGACACTAGTCTCTAAAGCCAGGGGGCGAACAGGGGTTTATTTTCCATCCCACGGCTCTGGCCTTGGTTTGGCTCTGCCGCGGTCCGCAGTCCACAATTATACATCCGCTTCCGTGGCCTTCCTCGTGGAATTATATGACTGTGGACTCGTGGTCTCTTGGATTAACACTGTATGATGTTACTTGCTACTGCTAAGGGCAGGATTGACTGGTCATTGGACATTGAGACCAGAAGGAATGGGTCAACCAGTTCACTGGAGCAACCCGAGCAACACCTGGGACGGCACGATATTGTCTGTTTGTCCATCATTACCATATTAGGAGAATGGAATGAGCTGACGATGGGGACCGCGGAGGTGTTGTTTATCTCAACTGGGTTGGCAGTTGCCACTTTGGGAGAGAGATTGCTGTATGGGTTTGAGACTACTCCGTACGCCGTCTTAAATGGCCTAGCCAGGAGATACACCTTACTTTCGTAGACACGTTAGCGGTTATCTGTCAAAGACCGCGTAGTAGGGACAATTCCGTGCTACGAATAGTAAAAAGGCCAAGTGCTCTGACTCGAGCTGTGATGCCCAAGGCAGTGAAGGCACTCAGGGGTAATTAGTAGTGACTGCCTTAATGCCTGGACTTCAAGGACATATCTCCCTCCTCACGTGCTGCTGTTGGCTGGTCCCATGGTCATAAGTCTCTTGTCTCGATCCCGTGTATCGTCTCAAGGTATGCTTTGCTCAGAATCTTCTAACGCTGATCTGGTATCCACCAGATGCAGAATACGAATACTAGTATTCTTCAGATTAGTTCAAAGCTCAAAGTTCAGTCCGACTCAAAGGTTAAATGGGAGCCGCCAGTCCTTCGAGCAAACCTCAGCGGCGCGTTTCACACTGCCTGTACGGAGTAGCTACTTAGTTCACTCCACAGCCCCATTTGGCATTCCTCCATGATGCATGATATTCGACATTATTTCAGTTTTCGATGGACTCCAAGTCCTTACCAGGCGCCCTTTGGTCTTACGAAGTCTGAGTATTGATCGTTGGTTGTGGACAAGGACCCCACCTTGATGGTCATCACTCGCAGAAGACGGGATCGAAATCGATGGTCGTCGCCGAACGAACGGTGGAAGCGCTAGGAAAGTCGCTTTAGGTCCCAGACAGCCGGGACTATATGTGCAGCATTATGCTGTCTGTTTGATGCCATGAGCAGGGATGTAGAATGTCTACACTTTTCTGGCCACAGATATAAGGGATATTCTGTTACTATGTGAAACTCAGTATAACGGTCTTATTGCCTTGACCCAGATAAAAGGTGCAGGTGACTCCGGCTCACGTTCAAGGGACGGGTCGAGAAGAATCGACGATTGGTGTATGCACACTGTCTATGTGCTTTCTTGATGACCTTACTGGGGTGACTGGTTACCCTCCAGCACGAAATTGTCTCCTTCCAGATACAGATGTAGGAGAGTCACCTCCTCTTGTCCAAAGTGGATGACCACTGTGAATGTTGTTGTAGAACTGCTCAACCGAGTTGCTGAAAGCACAAATCAAAGCTGGCAGCCATTGTTGAACTCTGCACGTTCACTCCTCCACTTTCGCCCCACCAGTCCAACCTTCTTCTGTCCATTGGCTCTTTACGGAGTAGTGCGACGGTTTCTACAGTGCTACAGGGGCTGGCATATGGCTATGTCATGAACCTCCATTGGCCAATCCAGTCGCGGACCTGAAAGACGGAAAGTCCTTCTCAGTGCCCGTCATCCGACTGGGAGTGGGGGAAAATCTTACGCTTCCCCAGTGGTTGGTCCGCGCATATGGAGCCTGGATAGGACTTTTATCCACACAGTTGCCATGTTCCGTGCAGTTGTCAATAATCGAATTTCTATTTTTGCGGGCAAAAGTATTGGTCAATTGCCAGAAGCCTGCTATCTGGAGGCAGTTTGCTTGGAGCATCCAGGTGCTGCTGATTCTGCACAGATGCCCAATGCTGCAAATACAGAGTGGAATGCAGTTCTAGAACCAAGGTTACTAGTTATTTAAGCTTGTTATACAGAAAGGCGCGCTCCCCTGTCGTCAACGTGGACTCATTCATTAAGGTTCAAGATAAATGGGGGTTGAAGAATCTACAGGGGTGTTTCAGACGCTGTTGAACAATCTGCGATCGCTACTTCTCGTCCCAAGTCCGACCGAGACAAGGTCGTCAAGGCTGTGATTATCTCCGCGCTTGCATGTCACATTCTGCAGGTCCACCAATTCTGCACAAAGTACTTCTCTACAGAGTATGGAAGTGGACTTTACAGGAAACCGATCACGTTTCCTCCTGTTCCTGTCACTGGTTGAAACTTGGAGTCGGTGGCTGCGGAGTCGGCAAGTCTAGATGGCTTACAGGCTGAAGTCGAGGCCAGTTTGTTCCTTCGAGAATCATCACGTCGAATATCCTCGAATGACAAGGCTCATCAACACCAGACTTGTGCAGATGGTCGCCTCCGTTCCTGGTGATCACAGCTTTTCGGGATAAGATTACCAGATGCAGACAACCCGATGCATCATGCATGCCTGATTGCTAAGGTGGCTGCAGATGGCTTAGGGATATAGCCTAGTATTTTGGCCATCTGCATCTTCAGCCTTGCAATTTCTGGCGTCTTGACTCGACGGCGACGGCTGGCGTGCTCTTCTTTCACGTGCATGCGTCGATCGGTGTGATAGAAAAAAAGAGACTGCAGGACCAGGGCTTGTCAAATCTGCAGCTTGCACTTGCACTAAGCACTTAGTTTGAAGCAGCCAAAATCGAGTCAATTTGGCAGCGTTGCTCTTGCTGGCATTATGCATGCTGTCTAGTGTCTAGTGTCTCGTGCGACGCGGAACTAGCTGTCATATTGACTAAATTGACAGGTCAGCTATCATTTACGCAATATTTGCATAATGGATCAGCGACGCTATTCTTCTGTCCAATATTAAATTCGATAGCTACAACCCCAGTCTGATTGTGGACTTTATCGAAAGCCATTTCTGCTGCATACTGCACCTGCATCTTCTCTGCATAGTCATATATTTAGCAGTAACTACTCCGTAGAATGGAGTCATACGCAGAACAGGTCACAATATCATGATGGATTACTATACTCCGATCTCCATACTCGAAATCTGCCCAATGCACAAACCGGAATATAGAGGACTGGTCTAGTCTGCATTTTTGATTGACGGAGAAATGCATCCCTCCCATTCCTCCCACCACAACCCAGCCACCTTGCCCTGACCAGCTTATACGCGTTCACTCCAGTCAATCTACTACAATCGAATTTGATAATGCTTGTAGTGCCTATTTCCCACCGACAGTTCCCAAATCCCATTATTAAAAAAGAACACATTCAATCGCCATACAATGCCAGAGTACAGTGTACTCGCAGCTGTAGCTGACCACAACCGACAGAGGTAATAACCGCATCAAGGGATACCATCACCACCCATGCCACACACATAACAGGGACAAACGCGTCGATCATCGCGTGTCGCATACCGATCCACTCTCACGGCGGACAATCGATACAGGGACGAGCGGCATATATCAGCACTCCGGCTAGCCCCGGTCCTTGCTCTCATTTTCTTCTTGACCTCTGCCTAGGGAGAGACACCGCACAGTAGCAACTTGTACATGATATCGCACCATGGAAATAAAAACATATCTATCGCTCCTCCTCCTCTCCGTGGCAGTCGCCTGCGCAGCTCCCATCCCGATCTCGACCCTCCGCGCTCGCCAGGAACCAGGACCAGAACCAGAACCAGAACCAGAACCAGGACCACTGGACTTGCCGTTGTTGCCTGCGCCGGAGCCCCTAGACATCGATAGCATAATGGCGAATTCGCCGCTGAGCGACGTGTACAAGATAATCAAGGAAGGGGTTAAGGGTTTGTACCTCCTTTGCCCATCCTAGTGTTTCTTTGAATGCTTTGCTGACGAGGGGGGTTTAGTTGATCTACCGGATATGAACCATAATCGTCACCCTGCATGAGCAAGTGACTCTGCGATGGGAATCTGGGTGGAGCGATAGCGACAGGCACGGGTCAAGGCTATGGGTGGTTCTCTTATAGAAATTGCTTGATGTAATATAGGTGCTGCCTCCGGAGACCCTTCTACCTTCTGTATATATTTGCTTATACGGTATTCTGCAGGCATTCCCCTTGGTTTGATTAGGTCTATTGTATTGGTGGCTCGAACCTGTCGGTTCTTTGCTCTCCGTCAGTGACAAAGATTTGGGTGTATCATAGTTCCGAATGAACGTTGCTTGGTCGGCGTTGGCATTTTTTCATAATGGATTGAATTCCCGTTCTGCGTAACTCGTAATGCTTGTATACAGCTAGAACATCCCCTCCATATCCAGATCCAAAAACTCCGGGTTCCCAACAGCCATGTCCGCCGCATTCAGTACATCGTCGATACTCGTGTCGAGCCCCGTGCCCGACGAATCCAGCCCCGCTGCCGCTGCCGCATTGTCAATCATGCGATGAATGTTCTCTGCATCGTCAGGCTCGACACCATGGTCTGCGGCCCCCGCGGCATCCAGTTCCATCTGGCCCGCGCCCACATCCACGCCCACGCCCACGCCCACGGCCCCCAGCTGCATGTTCTGGATGATGTTGTTGACGTCCAGGGTGGGAACCTGAGACGGCGGCGCCAGCAGCGCGTTGACCCGCCGGTACAGCCGCACGATCACCTCCGCGCGCAGGGGGTCCTTCTCTGAGATCTTGGGCACGTTCTCGTGCTGCAGCGCCAGCACGTCGCGGAGGGTTAGGATCCCACACCGCGGCAGCGCCTCCTTGTTCGGGTCCACGGGCTGGTGGCTGTTCTGCTCGACGGAAAAGGTTTCCGCCATGGGCGCGCAGATCAGCGTCGCCGCCAGGTCCAACGCCAGGGCGCCGTTGCCTGCCTCGGTCTGGAGTTTCAGCTCCTCGATCAGGGCAGGAAAAACGCGCGACGCCCCCAGCATCCGCACGCCGGCGATCAGCTGGCGATGGGTGTACGGAGGAGGTGCCATGCTGACCTCTGGGTTTGTGCTCCAGAGCACCAGCGACTGGAACGTGCTGCGGATGCTGCCTAGCAGACCGCCGCCCGAATGTGTCGTCCAACTCTCCAGTTCGGAGCGGTGGGAGCTGCCCACTCGCTGGAACGATAGGCAGGGCTCCAGGGAGTCGAGTATCGGTTTGATGTCGGTGCGCGACGGGTGCCGCGTGCGCACATCTTTGAGCTGCTCTTCCAGCGTGCGAGCTGTGATGTTCAGCACGGTCCGGTGGATCTCTCTGGCTTCGCCGGAGATGGAACTCGGGTTCACCAGGGAATGTAGCGCCTTTAAGGGGATTGAAGGGTCGAGTTCAGTCTCCCAGATATGGTTGCCCAACCACGTCAATGCAAAGATGAGAGACGGCAAGAGAAAGGGCTCGAGCAGATCTACTCATATCAGTATCTTTCCCCAGTAGTCCAGACCAATATACAACGTACATTCAAAGCCCCCTTTCAAAGTATCAAACTCGAGCTTTCCGGTCTCACATGCCTCCAGGCTCTGGCTGAACAATGTAGCCACGAGCAGATAGAACTCCTGTGGACTGCACGCCGACATGGTCTCCTCACTAATGCCTTCGGCGATGAACAGAGCCGCAATCCAGGAGCCCAGGTTCTTGTTCTGTTTTTCATCCAGAGCATCGAGTTTCTGGCTGCAGGATCCTCGCTCGAGCAGTCTCAGAACAAAGGAATCATTGCTGGAGATCCCAAGATCGGCTGGTCGCAGATCAAACCTGTACTTGAAGGCCAGCACCAGCAGGAGAATACTTCCAAACTCGTCGTACACCGGTTGATTCTCGCCCTGATCCTCGTCCCAGTGCCACGAGTCCAGTAAAGCGCACAGCGGCTGCAGAACCTGCTTTGGGTTTCGAAAAATCAAAACCACGTCTAGCGCCTGAGGCCGCCGAGACAGCGAATTGCAAATGTTCTTCAGGGTCATAGTCTCTTTTTGGCTGCAGAGATTATGCATGACCTGTCTTCGTTAGCGGGTGCCTTGCCAGTCCAATTTTGAATGTAGGACAAACCTCTGTGATTGCACCAATGATCGCTCCTGCATTTCCCTCCATAGATTCAATCTCGTTGATCAACTGCTCCGCACGTTCAGGATTGGCGTTGATCTGCGACACCAGTTCGTCCTTGTTATAGCCCACAGGAAGAGTTTGCATGGGATTCTCACCCAACAACCGTTCTATGCTGGATTCAGGTATCAGTTTGTGCGAGGCACAGGCGAATAAAAACTCCTGCCGCACGTCGGACAGGACCGTGTTGCCCTGCATTTCAAACATCTGCGAGAACGATGGGAACGTGTTGGGGTCAAGTCGGCTCAAAGCATGACTGATGCACATTTCCATTGGGATGGAGACCATGGTCGACGCCAGCATGGCCGCAAAGAACGCGGGGAGCTTGTTGACCAAGAACGAGCGAAAGACGAACATGGTCCGACTGGACTCATTACGGTACATGCCGTTTGATAGGACGTCAAAAGCGGCGGTGAGGATTTCCTCAATGAGAGCTTCGTAGTGTCCCTAACACGTGTCAGCAGACCATATCGTCCCAGAACGTCACTGCACCTACTCCGTATCGATTGGCAAGATAGTTGATCAGCATACCATCATCCACTAGGGGCCGGCCCACGAGCTAAAAGATCAGCTTTGTACCAACCAGCAAAGAAAGACACCTACCATTGCATTGATGAAGACGTAGAGACCTGCTCTCGAATTGATGACCGGCCCATCCATGACGGACGCCTCGAATTGCAGAGCGTTGACATTCATGTTTTCCATCATTGGAACGTCCAAGGACTTCGGCGCCCGTTCGCCGTACAAATTGAATTCCTTTTGAAGACCATCCAACCTGTTACGCAGAGGTAACGACACCTCAACGCAAAGGGGGAGATATGCCGAGAGCGCTTGCCCCAGCTTGACCTTTAACCCTGCAGCTTGTGAGATTTAACCTAGGTCTATTCGGGAGCGATGAGAAAATACCTTCATGTGAATCAGCTGAAAGTACCTCTAATCCCTTCCCGGTTCCAGACAGAGCAGCGAGGAGAATGCCCAACGATTCGAACAGCGACACCACATCCGGCGAACTCATCATTCCACTCGAGTGTTGACCGGGATCGAAATGGCTGTTGTGCCACGAGACAACCGCATGGATCCAGTCAATAATAGAAAAGAAAATTGCGATGGCTTCTGCGTTGGTTTTGGGAGTACTCCCCGTTGATACCGAAAGCATGGCATCTTGGATGACTCGAATATCAGTCATCAAAGTATAGCATTTGGAACCATCTTTGCCCTCTGACGAAGGCAGTTGCGGCTTATCATGTATAGACGAGTATTTCAAAAGAGAGGTCAGCACAGTAGACGTTCTGACCCTGCCCATTCGGCACAGGCAGTCTATGTACAGCGGGAGTAGTGGATCCCACTTGACCCTGGACTCGGACCGAGTCTGAAGCAATGCATCAAGCAGTGCATTTTCCGCAATAGGACATTTCTGGAACAGCAGTTTTGACAGATTTCTGAACTCGTTGGCATCAATTCGATGTATCAAACATTGATGGAAGAATGTCCGCCATTGGACCGGGGAGGTCATATTCTGGGAAGGTTCGATCATCCTGGCTTGAATTCAAACATAGCACACTTGAGACAATGACGTATAGATAAGCATTTGATTATTCGCGCTGGTTCGTGGGAGACATTTTGCTGACTCCTTCTACAGGTCTAGAGTATGTGGTGGAAACTTGAGCATCATTATTTGTTTGGCTGGAAGGGCGAGTCACATGCAGTAGTCACATGACCTGAACAGCATAACTACTCGGTGCATATGCCTGCCTATTCTTCGTGTGGATCAAGCATAGAACAGATCAACAGAGCAGTGAGCATGAAGCTAGTGTCTCTGGCGGGTTAGGTGAGGTTCATGAGTGCCAAAGGTATCTGTATCTTTAGGAAACTATTAAAGAGCGTAAAAATGTTAGTGGTCTACTAGAAGAAGCCTGGAATATTTTGCAACTATATTCTGAAACCATGAGGTGTCAGCACTCTAATAGCCATGCACAATCAATGTTCAATACCGGCCATAAATCACAGATCGACATAGTGTTTCTAGTAGAAAACACTGCCATTAAGATGATTGAGCAAAGTCATCTCATAACTCTAGATCCTCCCATTGTGGGAATCCTCATATAGAGGCTAGCAAACCCACAAAATCCACTGGTATTCCGCAGTCTGTAATGTACCATAACACACGTAAGGATGGCAAAATCATGTTACAATACTGGAAGAATTTGCAGAATAAGTCGCAAAAGAACATACCCGACGATCAGGTATACAGAGCATTTGCATGCCAACTTGGAAATAGAGATTACTAAACACTAACATCGATAAAACCGACGCTTGAACCCAGCGAAGAAACAAGATTGGCTCATCTCTCCCGATCTAATAAAACCTCCGGACAAATAACATCTCAGATCAGCCAGATGCTGGCACCGGAACTAATCTAGTCCTTTGATCCCCCGGCCAATCATGCGCTGATAATGGACTTCGCTCTTTCAGTCCTGTAACTGACCTGCAATTGTACGTATATAGCACTACGTAATAGACTCAAATGTAAAGCCTATGATTGACATGCAGGTCCCAAGACGAGACACGGTCCACATTCTCCCGACGGAATAGGTAGGTTGTCCACAATGGAACAATTGGCGGGAATATCAGGGGTCCAGTACTGGGTGTGCCTGTCTGGGTTACACCGTAATTTGCAAGTCATGCAACACAGTTCTAGTGATTAGCATGTCATGACACTGTGTATGCCATCTCCGAAATCCACGAACTTTATGTACAATGGTACGAGACGGGTGAAGCCTGCAGGGTCTAGTGGGGATCCAAATGGGGCATCACAATGTTTTACGCGTACTCTGGCTCTGGGGAGGGGTATTTCGAATTCGTATTATCCTGTTTTCGG